TGAATGTACTGTCTTTATATAGTTTTTAAATGAAGGCTCTATAGTGATAATTTTTATTTATCTTCACCAGCACTGCTTGCATCATTAAATTTTCCATTTACTTGTGTTCTAAATATTTGTCTTTTAGGGCTACTTTTTGCTTCACTAATCCTGATGTCATCTCCCCCAATTACACCGGATTAGCGAGGGGTTTCTCTGTATGATGGGCGGTAGGCTTGAAATGCAGCATTCACCTGCTTATTGCAGCGTTATGTTATAGTGATATACTTTATAAGAAGTGCTGAGTTCGTGCCTCAGAACAAGTTCATAGATAAAACGGAAAGAAATAAAATAGGGGAAACAAGGAAATAAAAAACATAAAATGAAGGGTACGAAGACGTTCTTTGGAAGTCCACCGTAAAACTTCGGAAGAACACGCACCTGCTGTCTGCTTCATGTTGGTTAGTTAGTTAGTTAGTTAGTTAGTTAGTTATTGGAGAGGGTGGGTTTCCCCATGCACTTAGACCTGTATTGGTCCATTGTGCTTCCCTCTATGATTTCTACCAGTCTCTATATCCTACCGGTACTGGTGCTTACCATCAGTCCCGCCCAGCCAGCGAGACCGGCTCTACTAGGTGAGAGGTATCTGTAATGCTTCCCACATCTACCAGAGGTATTAGAGACTGCTGTTGGGCGGGAAACGTCCGTAATTTGGCTCAGTGACCTCCTTTATGGTGGTTTCTTACTCAACACTTCAACTATGAGGATAGAAAAGACATGTTACTCCGAAACGTCTGCTGAAGAACTGCCCGTTTTTATACCCCGGAAGATACAATCCTCCATAAACACCGTTGTGGGAACGTCAAATTTATTTTTGACGTAAAGTATATGAGCATTTTCATTATGTATTTTTGTCAGTCTGGGGAAAAGATAAGTTTGTAGTTATTCTTACAATTCAACGTATCAAAATTTCACAAATTACCGTATAACATTAAGGTATTCCCACCAGCATGAAAATAATCAAATCGACCATTCCAAGTGCCCCGTTGTTACAGACATTGGCAGAAACAAGAGTGGAAACGGACTGTGATTTGCGTGTCTCCCTGCATCCTAGAATAACTCGACATGATCCTGGTAACCTTGTGTCTGCTTATCAGATGATGCAGTATCGACCGAGAGAAAGACTTCACACGAAATCATTCCAGTTACGACCCATTCCCCTCGTTGACGTGGACCGAGCCACGTCTCTTCAGGGACAGTCGTGGTGTCAGCGTGATAAGTGCCTGGTCCATAAAAGTAGCGGCCATGTTTGTTTAGCACGAACTGCTATCTTTCGTGACACACCTTCATGTGGGTTCCCTTGGTTACATTCTGGCCCCTGGGTACCGGGGGGTAAAGCCACTGGGGCGTGAAGCTGACCACTCATCATCTACTGCCGCAATCAAGAATGGTGGAGCTAAACCTCCACTCCCCTATATGTCTTCAAGGCATAATGCTTAATTAATTAAGTACAGGAACGACTTTATTTTTAACATCAGATAGTAAGAAGAGCATACAGTTCAATGGAAGGTATCTTACAATCAGGAATAAAAGAGGTAAAATGTTTGCTTAAATCTAGTTTCACTTCGAGGTTGATTATGGGGCAATGGGACGATGCCAGCCAGAAACTAAGGGCACAGGGCACAAGGCACAGGGATGAGGTAAGCGGCGATGGCGCGGTTCCTTCCGCGTGCCACGATCCTACACGCGCATTCATTGGCGGAAATGGGGCTGGGCTGAGCTGGGGGCGGGGAGGTGCCATTCTGTCTAAAAAAAGAATGCAAAAATAAATCTTTAACACGGCGAAACTATTCAAGATGGAAAAAAAAGTGACTTGAAAGGTGGTATTCTAATTGGATCATTCACGTCGTTGAAACGCGTGTCCTGCGATTTGACCTTGATATTTACATATGCAGATATAAATATATCGGCATTAATTTAATTCTATTTTGCACACGGAACTGCATAGTTACGAATGTTTCGTTCGTCCGCTTCAGAACATATCGCAAAATGTTTCAAATAAACGTTTTCTCTTCTCTTTCTCACTGTTCCCCCTCCCCCCTCAAAAGGTTCAATTCGTTTTCTTCTTCCTCCTCCTCCTACTCAACAAAGTTTAGGCACTGTCACGTGTATTAGTGACTATAGACGGGGTTTGGATTGGTGAATGGATTTATTGACCACTTACAGATCGTAACTACAAATAATTATTGAACTATTGCTAATTTCCACACTACAAATCACTCCACACTGTCTTCTCAGTCTGCTTTCACTAGTTTTTACTTGGCAATGGGTCTCTCCACAAGGGCAATTCCTCTGCAGTGTTTTCACTAGACGTTACCTGGTAACGAATCTTCAGCTTCCGTTGTCCGCTAGTTGACACTCCACAACTGAACTGCAGTCAAAATCAAAGTCAAAGTCAAATTGCGACTGACAGTCAGTCAGTCAGTTAGTAGATCTTGGTGTCGAGCCCCATCTGGGGCTCATGACCATATATTTATTACTGCTTGACAGTTGCGATCTTGTTTTTGTGGGGCGCCCTCTCTGACGAAAGGACGGGTCTGTCTTTTGTATATGCTGCTGGCCTTTGCAAGCGCAGTCTTTCTCGGGTCTGTCCTTTGGTACTCGCGACCATATTTTATTGTCTCAGATTTGAGACTTCCCTTTTTGTCACTTCCTACGACTCGCAGGGTCACGGTGGAGGTATTCGAGCCGGCCTCCACACGGATTTGAACTGTGGAGCAGAGCAAAAGCTTACTGCCGACAATCAGCCGGTATAGTGATTCCTGGCATCGGGCCCCGCTGGGACGCATGGCCATATTTTGATTGAACTGTAGCGCCAATTGTCTTCAAGATAACTCATCGGCACCGACCACGCAGAAAATACAGCCTCTCTATTGTTGAGGCGTGTTTACTGCAGTTACGTGTTTACTGAGCCATTGTGTAGAGGAATGGTTTTAATCTTCGTCACCTGCGGGTTGTGGTAGGTCAGACGGCCACTGTCCCCTCAATCTTCTTGTTACATTTGCTGGGATGCTAATTTCTGCAACTTGTCTGTTATTGTGTCCGAGTGTACTTTGATGGTAGAGTATTGACAATCTGTATATTTCTTCTGTGAAAAATGGGATTTGCAGATAATTTTGGATAGTAAAGTTGGAGACATACCAAGGTGCTTTAGTTACTGAGCGCAAGAATTTGGATTGAAGTCTTTGAATTATTTTTGCGTTTGATGGTTTTATACAGCCCCATAGCTGTGTACCACATGTCCATATGTGTTTAATTTTGTAGTCGCTTCTGCGGTACACGCACTGAAATAGGATAAATTGACTATTTTTTTCTATTTGTCTCTGTGGTCTAGTGATCAGAGTTCCTGGCTACAGATCTAGAGGTCCCGGGTTCGATTCTCGGCGCTACCAGGAGCTATTTTAAGGAAATAGCGGCTCAGGTCTAGAAAAACGATATTAACGGCCGTGGGGATCCGTTGCGCTCACCACTTGGCACCTTCTATCCGCAAAAGTTGGCACTAACTTCGCCGAAAAGCGGCGGTCACTCAGTAGGTATAGTTCGCTTGCGGACTACAGGCCACGGAGTTTTTTTCTTGTTATATAAGTTAGAGTTTTTCATATCTTCCGTGAGGACCACCTCTAACAGTGAAATGTAGAACATAAAAAGACGCAAGGAGAAAGACGAAGTGAGGAGTGCAGGGCAGTGCAGGTAGACAAATGTGTGACGGCTGTAATCACCACAATTCCTATTTGTTACTGCAGCTAAGGCACCGTGTAATTAATAACTGCCGCTAGAAGTGGACACCAGCACGTATGTTACGTGTAGCTCCGAATTTGCATACTTATCATGACTCAGTTGAAGGACAGCATAAATTTACCTAAGAATATTAACCTTGACACGTTTCAGTTCCATCTGAACCTGAAAACGAATGCAGGATTCAGTAACAGGAAAACCCTATTTACACATTAATACACCCCAATTTAAATATTGATATAATGTCATCAGTTCTTTGCATGAAGTGCTTAAAATTAAAGTATAAATTAGAAAATAAATCTCAATTTACAGCCACTGTGTACTTTCTGGGTTCCATGAAAAGACAATATTATGGACGTTTCTGGACAACTATTGACACTGAATGAGAAATTTCTTCCAAAACGTCAGTAATTTTTTCACACTTCGTCACTTATAGATACTCCAGAAGGTTTTAAAATCAATATCTATTTTAATATCATCCTCTATTGCAAAGTGATTTTCCGACAATTCTGAATGTAATTCTGATCTATCTCATATATTCCATTCCCCCCCCCCGAACATGTCATCTTCATCATTGTAATTTCATGACCCTAAAGATGTACCCATTCAGACGGCGGTGTTTGGTATGTGGCACCGTGTAGTTCTGAAGGCGGATAGAAATGTTTGGGAAGAACACACCGCCGCATTTTGAGGGTCGAGGTTTTGATCTACAAGAATTCACGGTGCCACAGCCCAGAAGACTACAGTATGAGCCTCCATCATTGTGAAAATATAAATCTGACAACTCCTTCAGGCCCAATGCATAATTGAGAAAAAATTTCTTTCTCTTTATTTACTGCCCTCTTTTATCTCCTTTCTTTATTATAATTTTCCTTTTCAAGCTCTTTCTCTCCAATGTTCTGACCCAAAAACTGTCCCATTTCGCTTCGATGTCCTGACCCCACAACTGGACTCTTTGTCTTCAGTGTCCTGACCCTACAACTGGGCTCTTTGTCTTCAGTGTCCTGACCCTACAACTGGGCTCTTTGTCTTCAGTGTCCTGACCCCACAACTTGGCTCTTTGTCTTCAGTGTCCTGACCCTACAACTGGGCTCTTTGTCTTCAGCGTCCTGACCCTACAACCGTGTGCCCATGAACTGAGAGCATCATGTACAACGAACTAAGTTACATAAACTCCGAAGATAAGTTTTGTTCATGTTCAGCATTTGCACTGTTTCTTTTCGCAGTCGGAACCACTGCAGACGTCCCAGCACCTTGGCCTTCGGCAGTTCTAAGTTGGGAGTACCAAGCCTCGAAAGAAAGTCTTCCTCCGATCCGGAACTGGGAAGCAGAGCCACCGTCATCGGTAACGAGAGGGGTTTCCCAGCAGGTCTCACTGTTGATGAACTTGGTCTGTACCGTCGAAGGCGCCCTCCTACTTGTCTTCGTCCTAAGGACAACCTCAAACCGGAAGAAGGATCTCTTAAATCAATAACGTCCGAATACCGAAGACGGTTTATTCCACATCCGGTTCTTCCTACTGATAAGAGATACTACTTCGGTGAGGACCACCTGGTTGATGGCCTGGGAGCCCCAGAAGTGTCTCTAGTCACGAATGGTGCCATTGACACAGACGGGAAGCATCAGGCTTTAGTAAAGAGAAATGTCAGGAGTAGAAAACCTGAAGACGGTCTCAAGTTGGAAGGCGAAGCGATCCTGAGGCCAGAGTACTACGATACCTTTGTAGATTTCCCGCGTCAGAGACCCAAAGTCATTAGACCTCGCACACACATAACCTCAGAAAATCATCGTGAGCTTCCCATGAACTTGGTAACAGAGAAAAACGCGCAGTATGTACTCTTTGATGGTGCAAGGAGACCAGAACTTGCACGAAGACAAACCACGCTGCATGCCGAGGGTGATGTATTGGTAAAACTATCCGAGATACATTCATGTTACGTTCCTCATGAAGGTGCCAAAAGGTCAGATCTCGCTAGGCGTAAAACAAGTCTTAGAATGGAAGGTGAGATCGACGCAATAACGGAACAGAAAGACAAGTACGTGGGATTTCCAGAAAGGTGTCGAGCGGAATTGTCTAAAAGAGCCACACAACTCTGCTTAGAAGGCGAAATTGACGCGTTAACAGAAAATAACGAGAAATACATACTTTTTCGATCACCTGAAAGGACTGAGCTAAAGAGAAGACCAACTAATCTCAAACTCGAAGGAGGTGTGGAGAAAATGACGGAAAACTCTAGTAATTTTATTGAATTCCTTGAAGCTAAAAGAGCAGAGATGTTAAGGAGATCAAATAATCTCCATTTAGAAGGGGATATTCAATATGCATCAGGGTACAGGGACACTTACATTGATTTTCCAAGAGAAAGGCCGATCATATCAAGGCCACGAGAGAGTTTAAAGCAAGAAGGAGACCTTGATATTACGACAGAGAAGAAATCTCAGTTTATAGACTTTGTATCAAAATGTAAGAGACCAGATCTTGCAAGAAAACCGACAAATTTAAGACTTGAAGGTAAACTAGAATCGAAACCAGAATACAGAGATTCGTACGTTGATTTTCCGAGGCAAAGACCTAAAGTAAAAAAGCCAGACATATCTCTGAAGCCTGAAGGAGACATTGAAAAGATTACAGAGAAAAAAGCTCAGTTTATTCCATTTTCAATTAGCGACAGACCTGTGAGTGTCAAGAGACCGCCATCAAGCTTACGTCTCGAAGGCGAAATGAACACGAATCCTGAGTACAAAGAATCATTTACAAATTTTCCTAGGGAGAGACCTGTGGTTAAAAAACCAGCAGGTCATCTTCAACATGACCCTAAAACGTTACTTCTTTTCGTCGACGAACCTGTCAAAGAGCCTAGAGGCCCAGGCCGACCACCTGAAAGTAATCTTCGCTCACAAACTGGAATAGCTACAAACCCAGACCATAGATCTTCCCACGCAGATTTACCCAGAGAGAGGGCGGTCACAAGAAGAACTCAGGGACATTTAGGACGTCAAAATAGGGATACCACTTTGTCCGATTCACCAATTACAAGAGGACACTCTGAAAGAAGACACAGGAGAACATCTGATGTTGAGGTAGAATCGAAGAGGACATATGTTGATTACACAGCACGCGGAAGGACGCCTAGCAGAAGAAGACCAGAGGACAATATGCAAAGAGCAAGGAATTCATCACTGGCAACAGAAATAAGCAGTCCACATATGTCAAGAAGACTTAACGTGTCAACAAGTGTGGCTCCCATGGCAACGCACGGTCCAGGTGTTTACCATTCCGTGTCCAGGGTCGAGCCTATGTCCAGAGCGAAGGCTGTGACGTTTGAACTTGGAGGTAGCCGACCGAAAACATGCCCGTGAGTGATACAAGTCTTTCCGGAATATCAAATGGGATCTGTGTTCTTCATGCTTTGCATTTGGCTTAAATTCGGGAGAAGGGCGGACACGTGATCAGTCCTAATCGAAAGCAGAGGTCAATTGGCCAACTTCCTTGCTTCGTACTCGGGAGGTACAGGGTTAGAATATAATCCACGAGGCTTACCATCCGGACCAGGATTTTATTATGGTTTTCCTCCGTCCCTCCAAGGATATGGCGAGACAGTACATCAAACTAGGCCATCATAGCTTAGTTCCGAATGTTTCTGAATTCAGTATTAGCTAATCACGGTACTATTCGCAGCTATGCAATCGAAGCTACTGGCAGTGTCGTTAAATAAAAATAAAACAACTCTCTCTACACGAATAGAACCTTCGTGAGTTTAAACTGAATTAATCTGGACTGATTGTTTTCGACTTTCAAGTTACACACATAAAATATATAACGAAAAAGAAAACAGGGCTGGACAAGATTATCATTGTCATTGGCCACACTCTGTGAAGTGTTGTCAATTGTTCCACGTTTACACAGAAATAAAGTTCCCGCTTCGACGTTTCCTCTAAATTCGACATAACTCACACCTCCAGCTTTCTTGTCTAGCTACAGTTGGTGGGAAACACACTTCCTTATCCAAATATAGGCAAAATATATTCATGGGGGGCATACATCCAACCTTGACATCAAAATAAAATATACTGTAAAGTTAAAGCTATCCTGTAACAGGCCGTGGAGGCCCATAGGGTTGTGAGACGTCGAGGCTCCCATATTTTCTAGACTATAGGTTCACAGATGGCGGTGAAGTTGTCAGCCTTACGCCCCGGCCGACCAGAGGCTGAGTCGACCCCAGGACCATAGTGCTGCTGGAAGGATTAGGTCAATTGAAAAAACCCAGTAACCTCTTCGGGAATCGAACCCGCGACCTTCTGACTTTTAGTATAGTGCCTCAACCATGTTACCGCGTGCCCCCCACTCATAACTGCACAGCGAAACACAATATCTCTTCCCCTCTTTGCCGTCACTGTGCGTACGAGCTGAGGCCACTTTGTAGCTGTACATTTCCTCCACGTCGCCTTATACAAACGATGCGTTCTGCGCCACTTTATTGCAGAACTACTTCTCTGTGACGTGCCTGATTCTGGGGCTTCACTCCTAGAACTCTGGAGACCGAAGAATTTATCTACTATCTACTCATATTCCTAGTTACAATAATGTGCTGATAGAACCAGGAAGACAGGAGTCTGTATTGGCGCCAGTAAGTCATTACTTACTTACAAAGAGCTCGTCACAAGTACGCGTGAACTGTAGTGGCCGGTAGTGAGAATGGGCAGAGAAGAGGTTCATTCTCAGGGCTTAATGGGCCTTGCTCGGACAGGGCGAGAGGACTGAATTGATTCTAAATTACACATCACAGAGAAAAAACACTAATTTGTTCATTTCACTAACTTCACAAAACACTGTTGGGGGAATTAACAATGCGAGAGTCCATTTTAATATTGTCACGTGTAGGGAGTTGTGCGTGATTTGGATTGAATGATTATTGATTACATTTCTTGACATCTTATGCATACCACTCATACCTACACACAACCCGGAACTATTGAATTCTAATTCTAGAGAACCACAGTCAGAGTTACTATACGATTGGCGACAAGCCCCTTGAGACCCACGACCAATTTTTTTTCAACTGAACGCTTGCTGTTATAGTCCTTATGTAATATCCTCTCTGACGAGAGGAGTGGTCTGTCGTTTACAATTCATACTGGCTCTCACCAGCCTAGTCATTCTCGGGTCCGAGTCCCGCCGACCATAATTTACTGTCTCAGATTCGAGACTCCCCCAACCCGCAGGGTGAGGTCCCCGTATTTATAGTCCCCAAGAGAAGAGTGGTCCAGTTATACCCCCAGGCACTGGGTTCCCTTCTCGTCGCCTCCTGCGATTCGCAGAGCTAAGATGGAGGTAAAAATGGATGTTACATTTACATATAAATGGGATTATATATTTTAATTATATCAATGTATGTATGGATATTAATTAAACTAATTAACATACATAGGAATTAAGGCCTATATAAAATGAGCGGTTACAACACACAGAACTTATACGTGCGCCATCTTGTGTCCAGCAGGTGGGGTGATTCGACAGGCGCCTTGAGGCAAAACACGAAGGAGCCGTCGCAATTGCCCGCCGCGGATACCGGAAGCTACGAGCCAACATTCAGGCTACACGTCATGAACGTGGATGATGCATATGACGAAAATGATGATTTTGCTCGCAGGCGACGCCGTGGGAGACGACGTCCATCTTCCAGGAGTTCACCCCCGCACCCCACACTCTCGAGGTCTATTGTTTCATCGAGGGCACCATCTCCGGAAATTGCACATCAATGTTAGTAACTGACTGACTTAGACAGTCCTTCATTGAGATGATAAAAGTCACTCACTCTGTCTTGTGTGAAAAATGAATGTTCATTAACATGTTCATGATAGCCCCAAAACATACTCTGAGCCATATGAATTCAGTCCACACCATCATAACCTATTTGTTTGATTATATTTTAATATTATCATCCCATGTACGCCCAGGTCTTCTGAGGAAGCTTTCTGACTAGCTTTGCCCTTCTCATGTATGCTGAAAGTCTCACACACCTCATTCTCCTTGATTTGATCACCCCAGTATTCGGTGAGCAGTACAAATTATGAAGCTCCTCAACAGGCTCAACTTTCTCCACCTTCCTGTTGCTTCCTACCTCTTAGGTCTTGGTTCTAATAACCTCTTCATCATCAAGTGTCCCTTCTGATCAAAGTCGAAACAACTGATTAACTGTAGGAAGGGGGACAAGCCAGGCATTTGCCTCCTCTGGATTTTGGGGGAAAAGTATTAAAAAAAAAAAATAAAAAAGAATGGAAAATAAAAGCAAATGTAAAATTATTTAAAATACTATACTCATCTATCCAGCTTACTCTGAGATGATCAGAGAAATAGCCTTAAATGACTTAAACATAACTTTGTAAGCAAATTTCCTGGTTTCTTCCCCCTCTCCTGGGAAACGTCCTGGCAGCATTCATAAATGTAAACACTGAGATAAATGCAATTCGTTTCCTTCATATCATCTCTAATATTTCAATACACAGCTTAATAATAAGTTTGGTTTGACTTCTTGCAGTTCCGACAACACCCCAGGTGCAGTACCCACTGTTCCCTTTGAAGAACAACAGCAATCCAGCGTTTGTAGTTCTGGACGATCTCAACAACAACAGCCGCATGTCTCAGGCCCCCATGGCAACTCCTCGCAGCAACTTCTTGCAGATACCACCTGGCAAACAACAACCCCAGCGAGGTGGTAGCCATGGCAACTGGATGGCACCATGGCATGATGCTCCTGCTTCCATTTGAACAAATTATATTTCCTTTGCCATCTGTATAAAAAGGGCTTTATATTTCACTTCTCATTTGTCACCAAATGTTAAGGTTTCTCTTGGAATACCAATACATACTTGGTGTTGTTTACTTACTTACTCCTTTGTTCTCTGGATTCCTGGTCTCCTGTACAACAGATGCTCATTATTCTCTCCCTAGGTTCAACACGTACTGTTTCATGGGGCGAGGTTGTTAGACACATTAACAACCCCCAAACCAGAGGATCAGGGGCTGCCTTTCGTCTGACCCCTACCCTTTCACCTGTCTAACATGGATGACCCTACCAGGAACTTAGATCCCCACTAGCATAGTTCTGTGGGGATGAGGACACACACGCCTCACCTTGTCCTATGTCCATACTGGCTTACTTTTGTACCCTGAAGATGGAGGCAGCAGACTTCTTCAAGAGACTGATATAATTACACTGCAGTACTTGACAGAAGACAGTGGTGTTTGCAGTAACAGCTACGAGAACCGCGAGTCTCACGTTTTAACAGCGCAGTACCAAGTAGAAACCCTGCCTGTGCTGATGCTTTAATGTAGTGGGGAGATAGGATTTGGGGCCAGTAGGAAAAATTTTGTCCCTTGATAAGGTTGTTTTGGAGGGCGGAGTGACTGGGAGAGGCGTAGCTGTCTGAACCAATAGGAGGTAGAGGCGAGTCAGGAAAACAGTAGCCCTTTGAAGGACCTTCCTCAAGGGCAGAGTATGGAAAAAAATAGATAAGTGAAGGCAGAAAACAGATTACAGTGTGTCACATTGAAGAAAACAATCATCTTAATAACAACTTTTGCTTGAACGTCACCATTGTGCGACTAACCATGCTTACAACTACATTCCCAGGTTAAGTGACTGTTTTAACATGACTTGTCATAAAATTATCTCACATTTGCTAATAGAGAGAATCAAATGACCTTGTTATTAAGGAGCCATGATAGTCCAGTCAGTACTTTAACTAAGCTACTGGCAACTCTATGGAACTGGGTTCCATTCTCGACAGGGGAAGAGATTTTTCTTCTCCACAGCACCCACGCTGGCTCTAGAACTCACCCAGTCCCCTATCCAACGAGTTCCATGGGTTCTCTCCCCAGAGTGAAACTGACCACTCACTTCCAGCTAGTGCTGAGGTTAAGAATGGGTGCAGCAGTACCTCCACTCCTCCATACGTCTTTCTAGCATGGTGCTTAATTAAATGCAGGGACAACTTTAATTTTACCTACATGTAATTCATAATTTTCAGAATAAATATGATTGGTTTGTTAAGCCCAGCGTAATGGTACAGCTGATCAGAAAATGGGATAACTAAATGAAACTGGTGCAACACGTTTTAAATATAATGTAAAAAATATTTTATGTAGTGAAAGAGGATATCTGAGTTTTATCATTTCATTGAAATATGTCTCAGAGTTTCAGAGAAAACATGTGTGGACAGACATACATGATCTCAACATCATGCGTTCATTTTATTAGCTTTGTATAAAGGAGCCATAAAATTCACCTTATAGAAATAATCTTTTGAAGAGAAATAATCTACCAAAATTCTAACTCCAGTGTCATACTCCAGCATCTGAAAGATGTTTATTTTGCAATCACCCAGCAAATACTGGTAACAGGGCTTACACAAAAATATTCTACCTACTCTGTTTTACCCATTCCAGATGTATAAGACATTTTCCTGTAAATAGCCATGAAATGACAAATTCATAAAGGTGAGTGCAACCAAGCAAGTTTCTTCTGACATGCTGCCACCTAGAAAAGCGACTACACTGCCAATTCCCGGGATGTTAATTTGCGCAGAAAGGTGATATCATGGTGGTTATAGGAAAGCAACTTAGAGATACCTTCTTGTTTCATTGTGAGATATATGTACTTCCACGTTCTACAGAAACTGCAAGGAACTTATAATTTTTTATTGTGATGCAGTGTTTGAAAATTCAAACTATTATTGTAAATGATGTAATTGTTGGATAATTACATTTAATATTTGCAGTATCGTTTTGAAGTTAATTATTTATTTCCAAGGCATAATATATGATGGATGTACAATAAATTCCAGGGTCTAATTTTGCTTGTACTTTTTAGATTTATTACAAGAGATTCATCACCTCCATCCCTTGGTACTCCCTTTCCAATTACAAATGTTTTATTGACCAGTATAAAAGTTCTAGAGCCAGGATAGCTCAGTCAGTATAGTGACTGGCTATGCACAGGATTGCCGAGGGGTTGGAGTTCATGTCCCAGTAGGGATAAGAATTTTCTCTTCTACATGTTGTCCAGACCAGTTCTGAGGTCCACCCAGCCTCCTATCCAATGGGTACCAGGGGCCATTTCCCAGGGGGTAAAGCGTCTGGGGTGTGAAGCTGATCACTCACCTCAAACTAGTGCAGAGGTCAAGAAACCCTGCACCTATACATTCACTCCATCACACATCTTCATGGCGTAGTGTTTAATTAATTAAGCACAAGGATAACTTTACCTCTACCTATAAAAGCTCCAGAAATGAAACTGGATAAAAGTTTTGCAAAGCCTATGACAGGTGGAATCAGAATATAGAAAGATAATAAACTGGCAAAGAGAATATGCATAAGGAATAAGGGAAGTACTTAGACAGAGCCGAGTGAAACTGGGAAAATCAATTAGGGAAAAAACAGTAAAGCACAGACGGTAAAAGTATGATCATAAAATTGCAGACATGAAAGACATACATCGTAACGAACTGAACAATAAATTTTGTTCTACTTAATTCCATTCCATTCTAAGTAGACAGTACTTCAGCTTTTCAGACAACAGTGCCAAATGGGTCTGAACAGTTGGAGCCTGGGCTAAGATTACAACTCAGATTTGACAACAGAAATATGAGCATCCATAATGTCTGGAGATGCCACAGATATTAATTTCCATCACTGTGTAAAACAGCGAAACCATACACTTCAAATTTCAGAGTTAGTAACACACATATATTCAGCAAGTCAACAAACATCATGAAAAGAATATAATAACTTTGTTAACATTAATGCATGCTTCAGTCTGGAGTGCGATAAATTTCAGAGTCTTTGACCTTCTAATCTGCTGTCATTATGTAATTCTGAACTGTGACAGAAAACTCGTGGTGACCCTGGTCTGTAACCAGGTCATGTCATGCAGGATTTATGGTGCACAAAGTTGCACTGGGGCAGATTTTCTTTGAGCACTTCAGTTTCCCCTGCTAATTCTCATTCTACCAACTGCTCCACATTCATTAATCATCCTATACAGTCTTGATACTTCCAGCATCGTTAAACAAACCACTTAAAAGAAAAAGAAAGAAAACTGAAGATACCCCAATTAGCATGACTTTTGAACTCAGCCTCAAAATGTGCATAGGTATGAGTAGCATGCAAGGGTCATGCTTCTTATAGGCAGAGTACTTAACTCATTCTCCAACCCCAAATATGGAGATAGTACGTTCCTCCAAAACTTCGGTAAATTTATAACAGATTACACACAGTCACATCCCAGAATAAAGTGATCCTCACAGTTGCCACCATAAAGACCTCAAATCTCACACAGAATTTTGTGCTAAAAACTGAATTAATGTGCAATACATTCTGTTTTTCTAAATCTCTATATTCTAGGCCAGACTTTGAATCTGCACTACCCGCCATATTTAAGTCAGTTCAGATTAGATAGAATCGTGCTTGCTGTGCTTAGAAAGATGGAAATCATCTTCAGAACTTCTCTAAAAGCATAGCGTCAAGTAAACATTCTTAAACAGCTTAAACATAAATATCTATCATATCTGCATGTTGCCCCCCTAATCCACAACTTGATGGTCTGTTGTGGTGTGATAAGGGGCCCACTTAACATGATGATTATCAGCAATGTTCAATCACTAGACCATGTCATAACTCCTGTGGTTAAATGCTAGCTTTCCACCACAGTGGCTTGAGTCCAGTCTTATGCAACTTCCCATGGGATTCATGATGGACGAAGATGCATGACAGCAGATTTCTCTCTATCTTTTCGGTTTCTCCTGTCAATCACCAGTTCACAGTTGCTCCATACTCATTTATCATGACGCCATGAGCTATGCAAATATGTCCAACCAGGCAGCACATTAGTGAATCCTCGGTCTTTAGGTTGGGGGCTTCATCTTTGACCCATCACTTGGCAGGGTACAGATTAAGGAAATTCATCAGTTAATGCCGGATCACTAAATGACCTACTGATGATGATGATGCAATCATTTTATCTGATGGAGGCAAATGGGTGAACATTGGTATCAAAGAAATAATCTCTCTCAAAGAAAACCATATAGCTTGTTTACTACAATAAGTGTTACCACAGAAATATAAGTCACATGTACATAAAGTCATGGGGTGTAGATCCTGGACACGATATGTTAACAATACATAAAATCAATAGCCATAAAAAGTCTTAAAATTCATTTACAAGTACAAAATTATGCATAAAATAAAATCATAATTAATAAGAAAAAAAGGTCGGGAGGCAATACAAATATTTTTCTTTAAAAAAATCATAACAAGTCAGTCTAAATTCTTAGTTCATTTAGAACATTTAGCAGGCTGTGTTTCTGGACCTGGCCTCTGGGTTCTGCATGAATAGAAGTATGGCAAGACACACACCCCTGCACACCCTACAACCTCTATCTGTTAGTGGACTCAACCAAAACAACTGTACATTCTGTCGAGAACAGCCAGGTCTGGAAACAGGACAATGTATCCTCATATAGCTGTCAGTATGTAGATATATAGTCAATAAATCTGTTAAGCACCATAAACAACTGATAAAACAAAATGGCTGTCTTACTTGCTCACGTAATAGTGTCACAGTCTTTTTATGATTAAATTACTGAATACAAGAGCAGTTAATAATTTTTGACTTAAAATAAAGTGGAAATGTGTACTTCAGTTTCAAGTACAGAAGATTCTTCACAGTTCTGCAGCATTTATGCAAAAGGCATCAGCAACAGGAATACAAACTGCTGAGAAGAATAAATTATTCTTCCTTTATGTGTTAACTACGTCACAAGTCATTCACAGCTCCTGACAAACAGCAGTGCTACGTCAAGCCACCCTGCAGAAAAAAAGTGGTTGGTATGTGTAAGAAATGCTTAATGAATTACGTGATTTCGGATTCTGCAATGATACCAAACAGTTTAGAGCACCACCATGATTATCATAATGTTTCACAGCTGCGCAAGAACACAAGAAATCATTTTGGATGTGTAGATATCTCAGTATAGCGAACAGGCTGTGGAGTGGATGACCATGGAACCAGAGTTTGATTTCTGATTCAGGATAGAAATTTCTCTCTTCTTCACAGTGTCTAACTTGGCTATGAGGCTCACCCAGCTTTTTATGCCGTTAAGTATCTGCGGCTCTTTCATGAGGGGTAAAGCTGACTACTTACTACCAGGTGCTGAGATTAAGAATGCATGGAACTACACCTCCACTTCCCCATACAAGTTCATGGTAAGGGACATAATTAAGCAGAGCCAACTATTTTTCCTAATGTTAGTTTCTTGTTGTGAGGTGAGACTGAGCCCACTAACTGGCCTATTTTACCAGCCCCAGATGATAGATGATGAGCGTGGAGCAGTCGGTGGACTGAGAATTGGCAGGGGAAACCGAAGTACTTGGAGAAAACTTGCCCCAGTGCCACTCTGTCCACCACAAATCCCATATGACCTGACCTGAGCTCGAACCCAGGCTGCCAAAGTGGGAAGCCAGAAACTAACAACCGCATTTTCCTAATGTAACTCCCTTGGTTGTTCTCTATAGTTCCACTTACCAAGAAATGTATTATATTTAACCATTTCTATGCAGACAGTCTTTGTGGAAATCGTTCTCCTGATTCATATTATCATAGTACAGCAAAAGTAAAGCTATTCATCTGCTTAACTAGGCACCACGCCATGAAGACGTATGCAGGAGTAGATGTATAACTCCACACATCCTTAACTTTAGCACTAGATTGAAATGAGTGCTGACCTTCATGCTTCAGCCTCCAAGGTAAGAGATAGACAGAAAGTTGGGTGGACCCCAGAACCAGTATGGATGCTGTAAAGAAAAATGAAACCTCTTGTCCCAGCCATGAAGTGACCCCCAATTCCTCAGGTGTTTGCACCATAGCCTAGCCGATATACTGAGCCACCCCGCGTCTATTCTTGTGGTAATATTTAAATTACACATATGTAGTGCCACAAATGTTTGACTGAGTGTATCGAGAGATTTTTTTCTTGTATTCAACATCAATGAATACACATAAGATACACAGCAAAAATGGTCCAATTTCAAAGCTGTGTATTTTGTTTTGAGCATAGAAAGTGGTGCAAACTGAGGCCACCACATGAGCAAGTAGGATTAGAATAGTTAAAAGATGAAAAACTGTCAGTACATTCAAGTACATAATGCAAGATCAACAATTAACAAAAACATGTCAATAAAAAATTACAGATTTTGTAACCTCCACACTGATTGTATGTTCGACGATGATGATGATGATGTGCGTTGTTTTCCAAATATGATCTTCCCACTTCTAACAATGTCAAATGTGGATAGCTGCTGATAGCTGTTTGTTGCTTTAAGTAGGCACCTTGGAAAAATATGCCGCACGGCAACCAACAAATGGGGCAAGGGAGCTTTCTTCATCTTCTGTCTTCTGCTCTTGTGACCAAGACATGGCAACCAATTATGTAACTCTCAATATCACGAATGGCACCATGTTCTCGAGGCAATAGTCACATTAGAAAAAAAGTTAAATGTCCGACCCAGACTAAAGTTGCAAATCAATACTCTTTTCATTAAAACATGAAGATTCAGCTTGTTATTGTCAGTATTGGGTTTAAGGGGATGAAAGGGGAGGGTAGGATTCATAAAAACTACAGCATCTTGTTTGTTTCTTCTAACATGTGTTCACATCACTGTCATTTAAAATACTGTCCTCTTTTTTGTTCCTTTTCTAATGTACTCTCGAGTTGCCTACATTTTCTGGTACGACACAATTACACAAACAACCACTTCTCTACAACACACTCTCATGCACACTCGCGAGTCAATAACGCTCCTCCAGGCAGTGGGCGGGCAGTGGGCTGGGGCCGGACGGGCACTAGCGTCAGTTCGCATAGTGATCGAAGGAGCCCAGGTACTCGAGGGCGGCTCGGTAACAAAACTGATATTGATCCTGAAATGGAGGCATCACAATGTATACAGTTTACATTACAGGTTGAAGAATTTTTAAAAATTTGGTAGCAAGTTGGACAATTTGGCTGGTAATTAAATTGAAACAATATTTTTATGTGCCTTGCTGTGGTTTTCACCTTTGACAGGCCTGCAAAATTACTTTCTTTCTGTTGCCATGATGTTTGCCCTAACCACATGTGGCCAGGCATACGATAACTGACGATAAAATTGATTAGCAAGATTAACTGCTATGACTTACTAATTATGTTGATCTCAACTTCTTTCAATGTTGTTCCTCTGTGACACAGATGACAGAATGCAAATGCTAAAACTCCAAAAGTCAACTCTTAAATGAGTGAGCAATAAAAAAATTATGAAATAAAGAATAAATAATGTTCAGAAGTATGATCTTCTGTGGGGGGGTTGTAATACTGTGTGCTTTGGACAGAGCCTGACATTTCAGAGGAACACACTACTGTGCTGCTCGCTAAGCCTGCCGCCTGCTTCTGATGGTTTCTAGCTTGGCTAACTCTTTGACCCTGAAGATGGAGGCAATAAGTTGCTCTGAAACGTTTGGCTGTCTCCTAACTACACAGCATTACATCCCAGAAGACTGTATTCCTCACAGTCACTGCTGTGAGGGCCTCAAACCCAATACAAGAAATGTTAACCATGATGTCTCTTACTCATGCCCTTAATGCTTGGACTCGTATATGAGCATTTACCTCTGTCTGGACCATAGCTGGGCGCTGTGTGCGCAGGATGCGTACAGTCTGGAACACATCCACAACTCCTTCATATTGCATGCGCTCCAATACTATGCTTAACGTGATAAACACGCCTGTGCGGCCCACACCAGCACTAAAACAAGCACACCCAAAATCATATTCATAACTCAATATTAATTGTTGTAACTCCATTTATTATTAATATAAAGTCCATTTGAATTTCAATATGAAATTGTTATAAACAAACAGTCAAAAACACCTGATATCAATAACTTGCTCATTTCTGGATATACAGCTACATTTATACTAAGATATTAAGCTTGACAGAATAATATCATGCACTAAGCAATGTTGCTACCTAGAGGCAATGCTTTTTCGCAAATGCCGTCTTTAAAATTAATATAACACTTTGTTGTTGATACCTAACCTCTCATTTCCTTAAACATGCAACACAGCATCACAAAATCTATTATCTAGTTCACAATTAAACGAAAGAAATGCATTTCTTCCAGCCAGAAATGACCAGCTATAACAGCCAGTGGTTCAGTGAAGGTGCAAAAAAAAAAAAAAAAAAATGCTGACAGTTACATACCTGCAATGGACAGTAATAGGGCCATCTTGACCAAACTGCTCCTTTGTCTTGTGAACCTGTCCGATGAAGTCTATAAATCCATCACCAGATTTGGGCACTCCCTGTTCTGGCCAGTCAATAAACTGGAACTGACGAACGGTGCGTGAGCTGCCATCTCGTGCATCTGTCACTTTGAATTCGCGCAGGATGTACTGTGGCATGTTGTACTCAGCAATCGGATCCACTACGAAGCACTGGTACCTCACTGAGCGGTCGCTGGGCCAGTACTGGTGGCACTTCTCCTGCAAAGGATATATCCATGTGAATATGCTATTATAAAAGGACATAAATCAATTGATGGATAAAGATAACAGTGGACTGATAGCCGATTGGACGAGGTTTTTAACATGTATAAATGGGACAGGAACCCTAACAACAGAATTAATGGAACATATGTGAACATGGAAATATTACACTGATATCTAAAAGGATTCAGTTTTGTAATGTCTGTAAGAGATATTAACAGGCTTAATAATTGGGGGAGGGGAGAAGGTTGCTGATGAAGATGATAAAATGAGAAAACAGTGAAGAGAGAATAAGAGCAAAAATATTTGAGAATTTAAATATATATATATATTGGAAGATAACAAAATAACAGAATAGGAGTATAGGCACATTTTAAGAACAAACAGAGAATCCTAGAGTAGTCTTTGAACATGAAAGTGAAAGAAAAAAGCACAAGATGAAGATGGAAACAAAATGACAGGAAATATACCAGGCAGAGGGAAGAACATGGGGGAAAATTGAACAAGCATATCTACATTCATATTTCCTGTTTGTTGAAAATGTTGGATGCTACAGTTCAATACGTCTAATGCAGAGAATGAACAAATGGAGTTTGTGTACAACGGCTAGAGAGAACCATTTCAATCCTTCAGTTGTTTTAACAGAGATCTACAAATGTGTGGCCACTTGCAGCACAAAATAATACATGATCAGTCACTGACATATGAAAAAGCGCGGTGGTTCAAGTTATAATTCAAGAAACGAAAAAGGGGGGAGGGGGTCCTATTCAAGACTAATTAAAATAAAATAGTGTGAACAAATTATAGATACAGCACCAATCTTTAACATTTGAAATGGAAAACATTTTTATGTGCACTAAATCAATCAAACTAAATAATTCATTTATATAAAACTTAGGTATATTTTATATACCTTGCATGAATTTCATTCAGATCCATAAAGGCATTAATTTTTACTATTTTTGTACCTTCTAGCATTTACAGGTCCGAGGCTTTGTGTTCATTTTTGTAACATAATGATTTTTGATGGTGAGGAGTTGTTAGCCCCACGCCCAACCCCCAAGCTGGAGGGCCACCCCTTGTTGGCTGTCCACGACTGCTTATTCAATATATTCACAGCTTCCCTCCAAAACTGGAGGGCATCTCCTCCATCCGCAACCTGAGTATGTGCCATGCCGTGGTGACAGGGACCCCATAGACTAAGGGTGTTTGAGAACAGGGTGCTGAGGAGAATATTTGGACCGAAGAGAGATGAAGTGACGGGAGGTTGGAGAAAGCTGCATAATGTGGAGCTTCATAACTTGTACTCTTCTCCAAGTATAGTTGGAATGGTCAAGTCGAGGAATGCGTATAGGATACTGGTGGGAAAGCCAGAAGGAAAGAGACCACAGGGAAGATCAAGGCATAGGTGGGTGGACAATATTAGAATGGATCTTAGAGAGATAGAATGGGATGGTATGAACTGGATAAATCTGGCTCAGGATAGGGACCAGTGGAGGGCTCTTGTGAACATGGATATGAACCTTCGGGTTCCATAAAATGCTGGGAAATTCTTGAGTAGCTGCAGAATTGGCGGCTCCTCCAGAAGGGCTCAGCTCCATGAGTAAGTAAGTAAGTAAGTAAGTAAGCAAGCATTTACAGGTTCAATCTGCTATATTCTTTTTGGAAATCTCTGCAATAATATACTTTCCTCTAAAGTAGAAAATATTTTGCTTGCTCCACATTCAAACCTAAAAGTTCAATGTGGACATTGTCATAACCAGAAGCTACACATTTGGCAGACAGGACCTTAATAAAGGAGAAATCATCTCCTGCGCTGGGGGGTGCACAAAGGGCACTTACCCTTCCCATTTCCTTCAGTTTCGTAAGCATAACAACAATAGTTGAATTGTGTTCCCATAGCATCCGCCAGAAGTCCTCGGTGGTATCAAGCAGAGGGCCCTGTGTTGCGATGTAGGCGGCTCGGTACCGGTAACCGTCTATAAAACTGGCATTTATGTAATCTGAGCCCTCAATGGCACGTACAGGTGTCAGACACACCCGTGTTGACTCAAATGGCAAGATGTGTACCAGTCTGTTCTTATGCTTGTTGCACGGCAAGTTTGCGCTGATGAACCGGGTGGAGTCTGCTTTGATGTTAGACAGTTTCTGTAACAGAGAAATCCAGCACCTGCCCTGCTAATCATTTCCGCTTACATGACTCTATTATTTGATTTTGCATCGAGGTAAAGGTAATGATGTTCCTGTATTTACGGTGGTGGGAGTGGGGGTACAGGTCTATGTATTCTTAACCCTGACACTAGACACAGGAGAATGACCAGCTTCACTCTGCAGCTACTTTATACCCTGGAGCCAGTTTGGATGTTGTGGGGGAGGAAATCTTTCCCCAGCCATGAATTAAACTCTGTGGCCTTTAGTCAGCAAGCAAACTAAACAGACCAAGCGATAACCACTTGTCGGCGAAGTTAGTGAGAACTTTTGCTGATAGAAGGTGTTGCGTGATCAGTGCAAAGGATTCCCACAGCCATTAATCTCGGTTTTCTAGACTGGAACCACTACTTTTCCATTCAAGTAGCTCCTCAATTATCCTCATGAGGCTGAGTGGACCCCATTCCTCACCCACTACTTCACAGAAAATCTGCCATGAATTAAACCACAATTATCAAGTTCTCCAGGCTGTGGCCTATACTAACTGAGCTACCCTAGCCCTTATTTGATTTTCTTTTCCAAAATAAATACACAAAATCAAACATTTCAAAGACCATAAAATTATCAGGAAGCACTCTCACTGGTTTTCTGATAAATCAACTGTTTCAACTTTCATTCCATAACACCTCAGAGCCATCCAGCCATCAAAGTATGATAATGACTGAAGGTTACACGGCACAAGACATGCCAGTCAGAGTCTCAGGAGTACAAGAGGAGACAGGGCTCTGTCCAGGAGCAGAGAGCAGCGAAAATTAATCACAAAATGGTATGGATGCACTCTGTGACATCTTAAAAAATTATAGAAAAATGTGACCACTAGTGAGACCAAGAACTAGATGACAGAAGACAAGTGAGAGGAAATATAAAGAGAACAGTGGGGAAGGAAAAGACATGGGTACAAGAAGATGAATATGGGAGGACAAAGAAGGAAGATGAAGGTTGTTGCATGAGGACAGAGTAGAAATGCATACGAATGAATTAATGAATGGTAACTCGCAAAAATTAACAAGAGAATATGAAACATATTCCTGACCTTGAACTCAAGTTCCATCCCAGTGATGTTCTCTCCAACCTCAGGGTGCATCAGTTTTTGGATGTGGGTGTGCAAATTGCGGGCAGCGACCTCAGTGTTGCCACAGATCACAGCTTCAAGCAATGCATCATGGATGAATATGTACTGGTCCTCCGTCTATACATAACAAAATTTCTCATTAGTTCAGTAAGGTATGAAATTAACTTGTCAGTTCATATAAATGGGTGAAGATAACACCTGAGGTTCTCATAATGGTGTCCATGAAGATTCCTCTTAAATGTGACACTGTGTAGTCTGGTAGAAGTTTAATGATGTTTCAGAGGAATGTGCTGCCTCCATGTTCAGTTTAGAAAAGCTACTCTGAAAATGGACACAGCATGTTCCTCCAAAATGTCGGCGCGCTTGTGCCAGACTACACAGCATCTCAAATATATATGGACTGAAATGTGAAGAGAATAATTTGTTTCGTATTCAGTGAATATAAGAAGTTTATATAAGAAAAGAGTATTACATTTCTATTTCATTAAATCTTAATAGTTTGTACTGAAATAGGGGATTTCCCGCCACCTGGCCACATTTAAAACCTGATGTTTTCATATACATTGCGCTACCTCCAGCTATATAATAACTTTTTGATAAAGAATTGATACCTTTATATAATCTATTGACTGATGGTAGCATAAACTTTCAAGAAGTTCCTACTAATGCCACAAGATGCCAGAGGAAGCAATCAATAATGGGAAAGACTCACTACTTCTGTCATTGGACATGAAAGGCCATTGGATAGGATGTTTACAGGAGAAGTTCCATGAATTCTGTCTCAACACTGGTGCAGAAAACAGCATCAATTCCTTCAACAAGTGCTACAGGAATAGCAGAACATATCTTCTGGGAGTGCCCCTGGCCAATGAAGGAGCTGAATTGATTAATATAAAAATAAAAAAGTAAAGCTATCCCTGTAACAGGCCGTGGAGGCCCATAGGGTTGTGAGATGTTGAGGGTCCCACATTATCTAGACAATCGGCTCACAGATGGCAGTAAGGTTGTCAGCCTTACACGCCGGTTGTGCTTTACTCCTCAGGAAAATTATTTAATTAATTCCTGGTACTCATTTCTGTTAGAGGCTGAGTCGACCCCAGGGCCGTAGTGCAGCTGGAAGGGTTAGGCCAACTGAAAAAATCCAATGACCTCATCAGGACTTGAACCCACGACCTTCTGGCTTGTAGCATAGCCCCTCAACCAACTACACTACTGCGTGCCCCTGAATTGATTAATATACTCATTAAAAATAGCAAAACCAAAATTTGTTATTTGGCAGAAGTGTTCAAAACAAAATCTGTGGGAAGTCAAGCCCAACGAGTTAAAATTCATAAACGACATTCTAAAGTATATGTAGACATACACTAAGTACAGTAACTGATTAATTTCATGGATATAGCAGATAAGACTAAGCAGTAAATAAGGAAATTATAAAGGTGTCAAAACTTGTTAATTCTAATTCAGAGTCTAAAGATTGTACAAATATAGAACATACCACTAAAGAGAGCAAATGCATGTGCAGGATAGGAAGGCAACTTGTATAAGATGTGAAGGCTGGATGGACAAAACCTAGGCCCTTTTCTGTGTACTTTTTGTAGTCTAACAAATAAGAGCAGAGCTTCTTGTGAAGCAAATCGGCAATACATCTCTATGTTAAGGAGGTGTTTCAGCGGTGTGAAAGAGACTCCTGTACAAATATAAATGCAACATTTTCCTTCAATCTGATTCCTAAAATTACAGAAAATTCTGATAAGAGTATTTCACCTGAACCATGTAGTTACGTTGCGCTCTGAGGCAAGTTACATGACCATAGATGTCAATCATCTTCTCATGACGCATCCTCTCCAGCATTGAGTCAATAACAATAAAACAACCTGTCCGCCCAACACCAGCGCTGTAAACACATGTTAACAATATTATCCCTATACCAATATAAATGTAGGACATGCAAGGCATCTATCATGTGGACTCATTCAAAATAATAATAAAACAATCTTAACAAGCACCTAACAGAAAGAATAACAACTATAATGGTCTATAAACACAGACTGATCCAGCGTGATGCTATAGACTGACCATCTATCAATTTAACAAACAAACAAAAAACTAAACCAACCAAACTGCACAGGAATGTTCCATTGTATTCATGGAAATATCAAGGAATAATGATCCTTGAAAATACCAACTGACATGGCATCACAGGACACTGATCCTAACACTTAAACTACATTCTTTCTTCAATATGAAAGATAAAAACTTTCACATCCAAACAAAATAACAGACAAAATTACAGTTTTGTATGCTGTGATCCTTAGGATCTTAGGTAAAAGATATATATATATATAAAAGATTTAAAGTAACTGAGTCATGTGACACTGGACCCGTTTACTGGTGCAAACTTCTGGACAGGCATAAAGCCCACCTCAGTTGCCAAGATACTGAGAAAGTAGGTAAAACTTTCAAAAATTTAAAAATCATTTTCCTTGTTAGATACGAGGTTCTTGTAGCAGTAACTATGAGTCTTCAGGCATGTGACACTGTGCAGTCTGGTAGCAGCTCACCAAAGTTTCAGAAGAATGTATTGTCTCCATTTTCAAGGAAGCAGAGATGCAAAACAAGCACCAACAAGAAGCACACATCAAACAGGTAGTTCAGGTATAGGACTGGCAAGGAACTCAGAGAGAACAAACAATAGCAAGGGGCAGAGTATTTGCTAGAGGAATGGGAGAAGGCAGGAGAAAATTGTTACAATCAAATATACCAATATCTCCTATACACGTGCCACTCTTCTCCTGCCTCTTCCATTCCCACCGTTATTAAAAAATATGTCCCTTTTCAGGGCCAGCATTAGTTACTCTGCTTCTTGTGTCTACTGACTCCCTCTGAGCTTCTGCTCAAGTCTACATCTGAACCAAGTTTGATACAGATGATTCACATGCTTTGCAGCTTGCTGGTTGCCTGCTTATCTTACTTTCTGAGCTTGAAGACGAAGGCAGGTTGCTATTCTGAAACAGCTCTCATCTTCTCCTGCACTTGATGGCATCACTTCCCAGAACACACTCACTTTCTGTTTGACCTACTGAGATATACTTTTGTGTCTGGTGATTCTGAACATGTCAGCATTCTGTACACTCATCTGTTTGTATCTACTCAGAAATAAATTAATAAAATGGCAAGCTGTTAGATGAGGCATGGCGTTAAGTGAGTTTCCTGTGCACCTGTTGGCTTGGATTGGAGCCCATAAGCAAGAATCTGCTTTCATAAATTCCATCAATTCTACAAACCAGGTGCAAGTTATTTGGTAGGGCATGAGCTCTGAGGTGTGTGACAATGACAGACCTAATTATATTGTATATACAGGCCAATGATATTGAAATAGAACTCAAGCAGTCAAGACATTGAGCTTTGCTTCCCCCTCCCCCCCNGCTGGCAAAGTTGCTGCATGTCTCAAGGCCATAGCTCGTATCTCACTGAACCTACCATATATCATACCTTGCATAAGCAACCTTATGGAAGGACAGTTATTGTAAGTACGAAGGCTTAAAATTTTCAAACATTATGTGCCATGAAAGGTGCACATGTTGAAGTTGTTTACCATTTTACAGTATTGATTCTATACGTAATAAAGCTTTCCGAGATATGCTTTCATATTCTGTGAGCAGTTTTATTTCGTTATCTCCGGTTTGAAAATTATAGGCCATGGGAACCCCAACAATAAAGTACAATCACCCTGTACTATAAGTATCATTAAAAATAGGAGGCAGTAACTTTGTGACATTGACATAAAGGTCTATGTCACTCAATGATGATGAGGGACACTTGTTCTTGCAGCTGACAGTGCACAAAATTAATCTGTTGACACTGACCTGCAATGAACGACCATTGGGCCTGCATCAGGGGGGTTCATGTTGCGAACACGACGTAGGAACTGCAGGAACGGAGCAGGGTGATCGGGCACACCATGGTCAGGCCAAGCTGTGAACTGGAACTGTTTTACCTCCCGTCGTTCTGAATAGCCAAACTGCAACATACAAATTTGATATGGATGTATTCAAAGAAATGAAGCAGCACTAAACACAAATCATTCTACAACCAACTTTAATTCTTTATTTTTTATGAGGGGCTGATGTGTATTTGTATTTCACTGCTAAACGGTAATATTTACTAACAAGAACTGAAAGTTGTGCCCACAGAGGCAACACATTTTAGAACCATATTCTTTGTGATTCTGCATAAGTTAATGGTTTTGATGTTTGTTTATTAGACATACAAATATAATGTCACAGACTTATTTGTTATTTTATTGCATTTAGCACAGACAGTCATGTCATCATTAGAAACTTAATGTTTCAGAGATCTCCTACAATCTCACATCTTGAAGACAGACACTGAGGAGATACGTGAAATTCTGATTTTCAATGTAACAATGGCAAGGCTGGTTGCCAGAAAAGATTTTAATGTATTTACTTACAGGGACAGCTTCAGATCTTCCTGGATTCTATTTTCCACACTTGACGCAAACCAGAACTGTCACACCAGAAACCTCGTTGAACACATAGGACTTTGCTTCCATAAGGTTACCTCCTAAAGGTACAATGTACCCTCATAGAGGTTTTAGATGCAGTGTGGTTTAATATAAATGTATCTGTATTTCTATAACCTTTCAGATAACTGATGTTGTGTACGTTTGAAGAAGTCTGATTTTACAATTTCTCATTACATTTCTAAGAGGCATTGTGTTATTAATAAATAGAAGACAGTAGAGAAAGAATGGACATACACTGACAAGAGAAGGACAAAGAGAAATGGGAAGGCACATGGCAGCTATCATCAGTGGAAACTTCAACTGAAGATGACGATGATACACTTCCAGCTTACATAAAGAATGAAAGTAGAAAATAATTAATGACCTTGTGAATCTGAAAGGTTCGTATGCAGTACGTTGCTAGCTCCTGGACATCAGTAATAGTGACAGTCATCGCTCCATAAGTGTCAGTTCCTCTTGTGGGCCAATACTGGTCACATTTTATGCGTGTTCTTTCCTCAAGTTTTGTCATCATCACTATAGTGGCCGATCGCAGCTCCCAACACATCCGCCAGAAGTCAGCAAATGTATCTTGAAGAGGACCCTGACACAAAACCATATCAAATGTGGTCAGATGTTATGACGAGGCAGAAGGTATACAGACAAAATATTGACAATACCTGGATTACTAACTAACCTAACCAATTATGGTACAATAGGCCAGAAGTGGCCATAGTACAAGGGACTTAGTCCAACCCCAGTAGCAATAAAAAAGAGAACCTAACCAATTAACTAACTAAGAGACTGGCAAAGAAAATGATAGGCAAAACAATAGATTAAATGGCTGACTGACTGAATAACAAATTAACTAGCTACAGTAAACTCCCCATTACCCAGTGTGTATGGCGAATGGGGTGTACTGATTACATGAATCTCTTATTTACATGAGAAAAATTCTTAAGAAACCTGGTACAAAGTAAAAAAAAATAAGTTTGTGGTTTAATGCTTGTCTGGGGGTCTTCCTAGGTGACATAGCAGATTGATGGGTTGAATTTTGGATACATATTGTAATGGCACCTGCAGGCATACAAATGGTAAATTATCTTTGAAATTTTTGCCAGTTGGATGAGAATTCAGATGCTTTGATACTAGATAACCTGAAATTTACTTTTCATGACACAATTGAGTCGTCCTGCAGAAACTAACAGTGGCTCAGCTAGACAACATCTATTACATTTTTTACAGAATCCAAAAGCTCACTACAGTATTGCAAGAGCCACCAACTTGTGCCTCTTCTGAGCCAGATGAGTCCAGTTCACATCCCCATAAAATTTTAATTAAAAATCATTTCAATATTATCCTCCCACCTATGCCTAGGTCTTCCCAATATACTCTTCTTTTTGGGTTTTTGACTATGATTCTGCATGCATTTATTGTCTCTCACATGCTTGCTACATGCACTACTAATCTTATCCTCTGTGATTTAGTCATCATAATAATAACTGGTGAAGAGTACAAATCATGAAGCTCCTCATTATGTAATTCACTCCATCCCTTGTTGCTTCCTCTTTCTTTGGACCAAATATTTACAATGACCCTCTTCTGTGAATATAACAGATCAAGATTCATACAAAAAAAAAAGTACAGAACTGTAATCTTTCTTATTTTGGACTCTATCCATCGTCTGGTATATATGACAAAAAACCACATTTCGGAGACTGGATCTGTCTCTGTCCTCAGGTGGATGGGGCAAGATATACCTACTCAGTTGGGCCCATTAGAAAGAGCTAGTCAATCAATATAATAATCCTGTCTATTTTAATGAAAAGATTAAAATAAACAGAAGTACTAGATTACCTGTTTCTACATTTTCAGTTAGGAGACAAGGAATGGATGATGTCCAGCATCATTACAGTATAACAAAAATCCCTACAAGGCATCACAGCTTTCTAACTTATGACTTATTGTGTAGTTCATACAGTTTTCTCAAGGAAATCTGATATGCAGTACTCACCTGGGTAGCAACATATGCATTGTGTTTCCGGTAACCATCGCAGTAGTTGGCATTAATGTAGTCTGAACCAAGGATACCATCCACAGGCTGTAGAATAACCCTTGAATGATCATAAGCAATAACATTGGCATAACGGTTCTTCGGCTTATTAACCTCCATGTTGGAGTGGTCCCATGTAAACTGTTGGCCAGGTTCAATAGACTGCAGACAAAATTTAAAACATGCAAATGAATTTATATATTAAATAGCCTGTGTGCGATAAACATAATCTACAACTTCTTTACTTGAAGTCTGCATGCCTTTCCTATAGCACATCATCTCCAATATCAATGAATAGCACTCACTGTCTTCTGAAATGTGGTTACCATGTACTCTAGCAAAAGTTTGGAAAAACGTACTCTCTGCATATTGGGGGTCAAAAATAAAGCCAATCATGCTGCTTGACCAAAACAAATGGTAAACTTCTGCCAGACCTTGTAAGATATGAGGTTCTCGCAGCAGTGGTTATGAAGAGTCATCTTCTGGGACATAAAAATGTGTAATGTGTTGAAAGTCAATTGATATTTCAGAGGAATATGTCGCCTCCATCTTCAGGGTTGATGAATATGCCATATGCAAGAAACTAGCATGAAGCAAGTAATGGGTAGCAATGCTTGCTACCTCTTTCATGGTGGTTTCTTGCTTGGCTTATTCTCTGGCCCCGAAGATGGAGGTAACATGTTCCTTGGAAAGTCTGGCTGACTCTTAATGGGCTATATGGAAATATATTCCAGAAGGCAGAGCTTTTCTGCCATCAGACTATGAGGGAGTCAGTAAATAGACCACAAATGGAAGTAGAACAGCTGTAATGAATGCAACAGTTTTGGTATGTGTATCACTAGGTAGCAGCACAGTCCAGCTTCAAAACAGTCTAGTTAGCAGAGACGCGTGCACATGTTCAGAGGCTGGTTTCAGTAGTCAACATGGTGACCATGCCTGATGAGTATACTAGCGAAAAGCAGCTTTCTCATGTGAGTCTTTTGTGGGCAAAAGGTCTCAATGCAAAGGATATCCACAAAGAAATGTTTCCTCTTTACGGCGGGATGTGTCTGTCGTGTAAAGTGGTTCACAACTCGGTCGAGAAACTCTCTCAAGGACGTTCAAAAGTCACAAATTATGAAATGGAGGTGCGGATGTGGCCGACACAACAGTCAAAAGACTTCTGACTTCTATGCTACGGGTTCTGATGCACCGGTAAAGTGATGGGGCAAGTGTATCAGTGTTGGTGGAGACTATGTTGAGAAATAAATGTTTTTTTCCCCCAAGTTTGAATATAACATTTTCCATTTCTGACCTATTTACTGACTCTCTCTTGTACATTGCATCACACCCCAGAACATATTACTCATCAAAGCAACTAGCAAGAAAACCTCAAATCCATCTCCGATGTCCTTCAAACCTGAGAATAAACATCAGTTTGAACTATGACATTCAAAAGAGGGAATTCCGTTACATACCTCGTATTCCTGCGAGAACTTGAGGTTATCGCTGGCCTTGAGTCGCTCGATATGATTGGATAATTCAGAAATAGGGATGGGCGGATGTGAGATCATGCCAGGAGTTTGGAAGTTGAGACGCCGCATCTCGACTGGATCGGTTGGTGCATGGCTAGTCCCAATGTCAGCAGCCATTAGCGGGCGAGTTACGGCAGCCTGATCAGGTGCCTTGCATGGCTGTCTGCGTCTGAACAACACAATACAGAGGTGACATACATCAGTTTCATGTAACAGCAATTTCTATTGTTTTTACTTAACTGTTATTGTTTTCCCAGCATTTCTTTACAAAAATAACAAAAACAAATAATTGCTACAACCTATCATCAGATATTTGTTGATGTTGACCTGCTCTTGCATGTGGGCAGCATTTCCAACATTTTGGAAGTACATGCCCCCTCCTTTGGGGTCAAAGGAGGGGGCAGAACCTATGAAGCATCAGCACATCTGCAACTTCGACACAGTGCAAAGACCCAAGAGCAGAGTGAGTGAGAACAATGAACTACCATAAAACTCTATGAACAAATGAACACTTACTTCTTTATAATGAAGAGTATAATCAAACACATGGATACTAAGAGAGCAGCGATGATTGGTCCAATAACCCACATCATAGTAGCCTCTTCTTTGTTTTTGTCTACTGAGACTTCTGGGTCTACAGGTACATCAGGGTTCGGTCGTTTTGGGGGATCACCTGGGGGAACTTCACGCATGTCCAGAGACAGGTGTTCTGAGAACGGACTTGATGTGTACAGGTGCTGGAACAGGCACAGTATATGTTCAAACTCCAGAGAGAAAAGAACTGTCATTAAGTCATAAGAAACCTGACAAAGAGAGAAAAAAGAAACTCTGGGAAACAGGCAAAAAGAAATGTAACTTTTAAAATGGGAGGTTGTAAGTCCTATCTTTGCAATAAAAATTAATTTTATCGAAATTGGATGCATTTTTTTTCTAAGCAAAACCGAGCTTTATATTCTTGAAATTTGGCACACATGCAGTGGAGCATTTTTCACTATTGGTTGATTTTCGATTATAGTTGTTTACTTGTGTAACTCTGCAGTGTAGAAATGAGTTACTGAGATGCAATAAAGTTTTATTTGGTGAACTGCCATGTTAATATGGAGTTCGTGTTTTGTGTTTTGGAGACTGTGTTTGTCTCTGCCATGAGAGGCTGACGTGTTACAGCATACCACTCACCACCTCACTCCACCTACTGTTCCTGGGACATCCAAAGGCATACTATGTGGTATAAAAACAATATTCAGATCTAACACTTATCATATCAACCTGTGACATGTTGGAGGCTGATCACTTCACTATATACAAACTGTCAAAGCTTCAGATCATGCAGAGTACATGACATAAAATTAAGGCATGTTAGGTTGCTCTGCAGTGAACCATACTGCTCGTATGTACCTTCTGTGGGGTGTCTACGACGGCCCGAACAAAGATACGATACTTTTTGCCACGTTCCAGTTTGCGATTTGTAAAACCCTCAATTACTTCGCCACTTCCAATATGGAAGGTGTAGGGGATGTTACGTTGTGGAAACTTGGCAGCAATGTATGGTGCATTCTCTCTCTCTTGCTTGTTCCCTTTGTTTGCGATCAGCTGAAAAGAGAGCAATCCACGTGGACAGTAGAACAGCGTAGGAAATATGACAGATGTATAAAATGACAGAACTTTACAGAAAATAAACTGAACATAATATTTAAATAAAAGATTTTAGAAATTTAATTTTTCATTTGCTACGGAATATTTATTGTCGTGGTTTACTTTACATTTCTCTCAATATCAAGACTACAATGTCAAATGGCGAGGTAATTGCTGAACTGGAGAGCATCTGGGAGGAAGCTGTCATGGCCCAATCAACATGTCTGTAGGGGATGAGGAAGTGACGAAAAACCTCAGTTGGGATAGCTCCTGTCCTAGCCATAGATCTGAAGTGAACATATCCAAAATATGTTACTTCTCTATACCAGCCAATCGCTAATATGGTACAGTGAATCCAATATAAATATATTGTAGTGTGTGTAGTCCTGTTGCTAGGTAACAATCACAAACAAACAGGTTCCCATGGCAATGAATCAACAGGCAACAACAGAGGAACTGTTGGAAGCAGTGTTTCCTTTGGTCAGCACCAAGGCCATTGCTATGCAATGACACAGAAAACAAATCTCTGTGGCAACAAAGCCAGGCACAGCAATAGAAGAGCTGTGTTTTCTGTTAATTCATGCTCAGGGTCTACAAGCGGGATGAAGTTTAGAGCTCAGTTCAGTTGGAAGGGAGGTGCCATTCAGAGAGGACTTGAGCATGGAAGAAGAGGAACAGCCATTGTTCAAGCTGTTACCAGGCAACAGTAAAGACATTGCATGCTGGAAAAGACTTAGCACGTGCTCTAGCAATTTGTAAAGTGTGGAAGTCGGTGACTGCGCTATAATTAAGTGTAGGCACACATCGTGTCTTAAAAGTGGTCAATAAATTCAATCTCCAAACCAAAACCACATTGAAAGTCACTCAGAAGCGTGACAATATAAATTCAGATTTCCCTGTCATAATGATGAACTGCAAGGAATGCAGAAATAAGATATCTGTCTGTTTTAAGCTATTATTCCAACATTTGCCTGAAGGAAATTGTGGGGGGTGGGAACTCCATGAGGACAGCTTCTCTCCAGGCAGACATTGAAACTCCAGATGTCTTTACAGAACTGTTAGGCTTATTTTGGATTCTATCCATCGTCTGGTATATATAAGACAAAAAACCACGTTTCGGAGACTGGATCTGTCTCCATCCTCAGGTGGATGGGGCAGGATAGACCTACTAGGCCTTCTACATACCAGACGATGGATAGAGTCCAAATCAAGCCTAACAGTTCTGTACAGCATACACCATCACCAGAATCCTTTAAAGTCTATTCAGATGTCTTGCATACCAAGGATAACTGTCATTATACTCTTTAAATTCAGAATGACTGATGGGGCCAAACGTGTGGAAAATGTGCTCGTGACATGTATCACCAAACAGTGTGCTCAAGTCCATGGTATTTTTATTTTATATATGCTTTGCCTGGGGAACAGGTATCTTGACTGTGGTTCCTGCGGTTTACCCTCAGTCTCTTCAGGCAAATGCTGGTACTGTACCGCTAATTAAGCCACAACTGCTCCTTTCCAAATCCTTCCCAATGCATTATTTACTACTCATCTTATCATTCAAAGTTACACAGTACAGACTACTGATAAAAAAGTAAAGCTATCCCTGTACCAGGCTGTGAAGGCCCATAGAGTTATGAGACGTTGAGGGCCCCACATCATCTAGACAATCGGCTCAAAGATGGTGGTAAGGTTGTCAGCCCTACGCACCGGCTGCGCTTTACTCCCCAGGAAAATTATTTAATTAATTCCTGGTACTCATTTCTGTCAGAGGCTGAGTAAACCCCAGGGCCTAGTGCGGCTGGAAGGATTAGGTCAACTGGAAAAAATCCAATGACCTCATCAGTACTTGAACCCATGACCTTCCAGCTTGTAGCATAGCACCTCAACCACTATGCTACCGTGTGCCCCAACAGACTACTGATTACATCCTTAAATAAATCACGAACACAGCCGAACTTGCCTCTTCAGTAAGAAACTGATCTGGATTTTTCTGGTCATTCAGCTTATCTTCTGGAACCACAATAAGGTAATAGTGACTGATGGGGCCATATTCCTCTGATGCCTGGGGCAATATCACTTGAATTTCTGCACTTTTTACAACTCCATAAAAGTCCGGTTTTACCATAGGCTGAGGAGCTGAAAATATTCAAAGAACATTTCATTAATTCCCTGACAACTTAAACCTTTGATTGCCAAGCACAGTCACAGAACTACCTGCTAAAAGGGCCAAAAATCTTTGGGGGTAAATGTAGTTTCATATAAAAATTAACAATACTTATATGACCTTCAAATAACCACATGTACAAAACTTATAAAAACTTGTTCTTTCCTACAAAGACCAGTATGTAACATCTGATGTCATCTATTGAGAGAAATTCTGTACTAACTGATGATGAACAATGAACTGATCTCTTTGGCTGTGGTGGTTTTAATGCAGGTACTCCAAGCTGATTTAATCAACCTGTAGTATGCAAAAGGGTTAGATCTGTGAAATATTCCCACAGATATACATCATAATAATATTCTTTCTGCCTGAAGAATACCATTTGTGATATTAATGTGTCAAATACAGGATAGAAGAAGATGGTACACAGGATTGCCCATTATCACCAATGCAGTTTAACATACATACAGAACACACCAAGTAATGCTATACATTTGATGATGCCCAAGATGTGCTTGGAACTTCAGAAGATGAATTACAGAGAAGTACTCATAAACTTGGTATCATAGCAATGAGATATGACATGGATATATCATAGGATAATGCTGAGGTTTTGGTGCTTGGAGGTAACAGGAAAGAGTGCGATCATGTGCAACATAACAGAACAAGTTAAATATCTGAGTCACTCAGGATTCCAAATAAGCTGGACAAAAAATCACAACTTGGATTGAAAATTATGAAAGTTCCAGTATTATGCTAGCATCTAGGGGAGATTCATTTCTCCTGGGATACAGTATAAGTTCACTGTTCTGTAGGTGTGACGTGACATCTCCCAGCACCAGTTTTCCTTATAGCATACGTAGTTTTTTTAATATACTCATCTTCATATTCCAATCAGTTCAATTACTGGCACAATATGGAACCCTACTCTCAGAGGTTCACCCATCCCTACCAATCCAGGGCAAGGAAGCTTCTTTACCACACAGTACAATGGACACTTAGAGAAAAAAATCCATAAATAAAAGCTTTTAATATTTTGAAAGTCCTTGCAGTACTTACTCTGTTATATTATTTGGAGGGCTGAACACTGATAGCACAATAAATGGAAGGAACTGAAGCAGCGGAAATGCGCTGTTCATAAGCAGAAGAAGGGTACCAACTTCTGAACAAGAGACACATAATGATGACAAGGTAGAGACAACCTTCCTGTTATCCATAAATAAGAAATACCAAGAAAACTGCTATGAACTTCTTGGACTTGAGGTTCTCATGGTGATGACTACCAGGAGTAGCATCTTCTCAAATGTGATGCTGTGTAGTCTGGTACTGCCTCCATAATCAGGGTCAGAAAATAAGTCAAATCAGCACAAAGCAAACAGCATGGGGATTACTCAATTCCATCTAGTACAGTTAAGAACGCACAGAGATATACCTCCACTTTGGATCACTGAATAAAGCTCCAACACCAGTTCATATAGCATACACAAAAGTCACTGACCTGCCATCTGTGTAGTTACTGTTATCTTAGTGGGGGGGCGATATTGGTGGTCTGATGGGATGGCGCTGACATTCACATTATACGTTGTGAACGGGGATAGTTCATTGATCGTGTGGCTGAGAACAGTTGGTTCCAGCATTATTATGCGACGGAGAATATTTTGCTTCTGTGTGATGCCTTGTGAGTCCACAAATTCCTTCAGTGCATCAAATGAAATCTGGAAGATAAGATACAATTGCTCTGGCTTTACAACGAAACCTGTATGCTTACAGAGCCACTAACTGCACTAACTGCAGAAAAAAGGCAGTTCAGGGAAAATGGCAAATAACTGAACTTATCTCCAGTATTCAGATTACATTCTTCTGGGATATGACACCGTGTAGTCTGGTAGACAGGTACTAACACTTCGAATGAATCCATATTTCCACTTCCACAGTTGACGGGTGATTCTGACTGCTGTCAGACGATGCAGGTGTTCGTGAAACGCTAATATCTATCTACCAGACAACATGGTGTCACATCCCAGAAGAACATAATCTTAATACTCACTGCTGTGAAAACAGTAAATCTCTCTGGCATTAAGTCCACACATATACAAATGCACTGATATATGTCATCATGTAATTCATGCAGGACAATTTCTTATTGTGATATATGGGGAGAATATGCATCTGTATTAGCGCAATATCAATTGAGAATTCAACAGAATGTCTCATCATTTGTTATATTAACTTCTTCCATTTTTTTCCTGTATTCCTTTCCAGTCATACATGTTATTCACTGATGTGTTTGAATTCAGTGCTTATATCATTTCCCATGAATAACACACATAAACAGCCATTCATAAACCATTACCTTTATACAGTATATTACTATTCAAATATGAACATCAGAATATTAGTAATACTCACAGAATAGACACCATACACTGAAACAAAAGACTTCTATCTCCTTTGTGACTTACCATGTAACTTATGTTCACATAACAAGTTAATGTTCGACAGTTCGTTGTAATTATAACCTAAAATTGTGTAATAACAATCACAGATCTCATATTTAAAAGAACTTTTATATATATAGAAGGATATGTCAGGAATTCCTTACTTACATATGAAAAATTACATCAACAATAAATATTAGCTAAATTGGAGTTGGGGTTCACATGGCACTGGGTTGTAATGCCACATAGTTTTGTGAGAGCTTGATGTTTGAGATGAACATATTGCCCCCGTCTTTTTAGATGAAGGCAAGGAACCAGAATAAGCATGCAGCAAGTGGAGCTCTCTGCAAGTTACATGGTGTTACAATGCAGAATACTATACTCTTCAATATTAGCTTTGAAGTTACAAGTACTTGACACTTGTGAAACACAATGCTGAAAACTGTTTAGCGAGACTTTGCTCTTCACTACAGTTCTTATTTTTTTTTATATAAAACTGCATTTTTTTAAAATGGCTCCTATTTATGCCCTTAGATGGTGAGGATAAGAAAAGATTCATTATCTGTGAGTCTCCTGGATATAGTTACCCTCATTTCATGCAATAATATAATCACTAACAGATCACTAAATCTACAGGAAACTAAGAAGACCTAATTAGCATCATGACACATAATTACAGCAGCAAGCATGTTAATATGTTAACATAAACCAATGCCAGGATGAATGATTAAGGTTCTTGTTTCATAATTTGGAGGTCCCAGATCCCGGCCATGCTCACTGAGTTTCTCATGGTTCCCTTTACTACTTCCATACAAATGCCAGAACAGTAACTCAAATGAAGCCATTAACTGCTTCCTTCAACATCCTCTCCAATTCATGAATCATCCTATAACCTGACACTATACACACCCCCCCATGGTATGACTCTTCATTAATCACAAGGACAAAAATGCTTTTAACCGACAGCACTGTTAACCCTCTGATTACCATACCCTGCCAGAAATGCCAAGGCTGCTTTGGGGTAAATGCAATAGCACTGAAAAAACATGACCATTTCCTCAAATGACCTTCAAACAAGAGCAGGCATAGTACATGTGAAAGCCTGTTAATTCCTCTGAATATCAGTATGTCATTTTTGATGCTGCCTACTCAGAGAAATTCTTAACCAGTGAATAATAATGAGCTGATCTCTTTGGATGTGACAATTTTAATGCAACTACCTCAGGCAAATCTAATTGGTATGTAGTGTGCTAATGGTTAAATAAAGTAATATTTCAGAAAACTTTGTAATGGAGATATAACACACCTTATAGTTGATGGGATTCAATCTAATTGGTGGGGACCATGAGAGAGTCATACTGTGAGTGTTTACGTCATGGGCTCGAAGATTCAGGGGCACATCCTCAGGTTTCACTTTAACAGTGACTTTCTCAGAGAGACGCCCAAGGCCTGTTTTTGTCCGTGCAGCAACTGCAATAGCATATTGAGCATATTTCTCCAGGTTGACCAGATCGGCTGATTCAGTAACACTCACAATCTTCTGCTGCCATTCATCAAGATCTTCCACTGCAGTCATAGTGTAGAAAATCTGAAATATTGAACATGTGAGTCAGGTTTTGCAAGGCCTCAACATCACCTAGAAGATTCATAATATGAATTCTGGTTCCTACTTACCTGCATCAGCTGGTAATTTTGTAGAAATACACACTGGGACATCTGAGAAAAACACACTATAAAATACTTCCTTAACTACATAATTAATGTTCAACCATCAATCTTTAATCTTACTCTTTCTAATGAAATTTTTTATTCATAACTAATTAGTAGAAGTCTTATCAATTTAACTATTTAACAGGAGTAAGCAAAAGAGAGTTAAAGGGTGCGATATTTCAAGCTGTACCTTAATCAGATTTTCAATATTACGTACTAATATATAATCACCTTGTAACCAACAACTTTGCTTCTGCTGGGTACTGGTTCCCACCACACCTCAACACTCTGATCAGATGTTGCAACAGCCTGGACGCTCATAGGTGCGCGCACAATGTCCCTCTCTGTGTGCACTGTGATCTTCTCACTGTAGGGGCCTGCACCTTGACTTGTGTGCGCTCTTACACGAAACACATAGTCTGTGTTTTCTTCCAGATTTGTGAACACAGCCTGAAACATACATGTACAGTCAAAAGAGTTTCTGAACCACTCATGAAATTCCTAACAATTTGTGAATCCCAAAGGTTCACTGCCACCTGTCACTAATCCCTATCCTCAGCAAGAAGAATCCAATCCATTCTATTTATATAAGATCAATTTTAATATAAAACTTTCATATATAATTAGGTTTTCCTATTGGTCTCTTTCCTCTTTATTTTCCTATCAAAACTTGAGTATACACTTCCCTCCCCATGCATGCTACCCCAGAGCTTGCTTTACCTTCATTTGGGTGGTATTTCGGTCTGTGACAGTTGTGTGGTCCACCTTCTTGTGGAATTCAATGTCGTAGTGTGTAATCTGACCATTTCGATGCTCCACGAGAGGAACGTCCCACGTGACAGACACAACATCAGGTGTCTGGAAGTGATGTGTGATGTTAGTAGGAGGCCCACTTGGAGGTCCTTCAGGTGTCAGCAGGTACTTGATGGTTTCCTGGCCAAATCCAATGTGATTCTGACCTGCCACTCGAAATTCATACTCAACCCCTCGCTCTACAATGTAAACAAGCAAACAAATATTAGATTTAAGGTTCTTACAGTAGCGGGTTTGAAAATTAGTGTCTTCTGGCATGCAAAGTGTAGTTGTATAGACACGTATAAGCAAGGCTCTCTGGAACATCTGTATCTATCTACCAAACTACATGGTGTCATTTCCCAGAAGACAGAAGTCTCTACACAACAATGTTAGACTCGGGACAGCTCATTAAGTAAAGTGGCTGTGTACAGACCGGATGATCAGAGATAAACTCCTAACAGTGAAAGAAATTTCTGACAACTTACTATGCAGGAAACCCATTTCCCCACAACAAACTTCAGTCAGCTGTGAAGTGATTTGTAAGTTAAAACACGAATTGAGAGGCATGAACTCATAAATTCCCTACTATGCATTTAATGTTCCTTGTGCAAAGGACATATAAAGGATGGAAGCAAGTACAGGTAATGTTGTGCTTAATTAAGCACCTTGCCATGGAGATTATGTGGGGAATGGAGGTATAATTCCATACATGCTTAACTTCTGCACTAGACAGAAGTAAGTAGTGAGTTACTCCTTCAGCGTCCACCGGAAAAGAGGTTGGGTAGGCCCCAGAATTGATTTGGATGTGGTGGCACAAAACGGAAATGGCACAGAAGAGGTTTTCTTTTTTAAATTCGCTTTGTGAGGGGGGGTGAGGGGTGGGGGTGGAGTACAACTGGGTCCACTCGGCACAGCGGCCACTGATTGGCCTACTGTAGCCTGCCTTCGGTGATTATGATGATGGAGAATTTGGTGGAATGAAGATTGGTACGAGAAACTGAAGTACTCGGAGAAAACCTGCCCCAGTGTCACTTTCTCCACAAATCCCACTAGGCCAGACCAGTGATTGAACCCAGGCTGCCGTGGTGGGAAGCCAGTGACTAACCGCTTGAGCTATGACGTGGGCTATTGAAGAGAAAAATTGTGTCCCAGCAAGGGACTGAACCCTGGTTGTGCCACCCATAGCTTAGTCACAACACTATCTGCGCAATCACAGATATGTGCATGTGTACATTATTATCGAAAACGTAACTCAGTAGGACAAGCTTGTTATGATGAATACAAGGTGAAATACAGATCAACACACGAGTAATGATCTGTTTGTCATTACAGATCAACGATACACAAGGAGATGACAAAAATACTTAAGATTTTTGATGAATACCAGTTCAGCTTACCAAGATCATTGATCTTATGGGAATGGACCATGGTTCCTTTGAACATCTGTTCTATTAACACTTGATCCTTAACACCATAGCGAAGCCTGTACCCTAGAAGCTCTCCATACGTCTGGGTCGGTCGTCCCCATTCCAGCTCTATACTAACTGTTGGTTCACGTTCCAGCACTCTGCAATACGATTGGTTCACATTTAGCACCCATAAAATAATTTAGTGCCTCTGTTTGTACTGTGATGTGACATATGTAGCAGCAGCTACCTGGTTCCCATGCACAACTGCAGCCAATGTTAGAAAGAAACATAATTACAAATATTGAGAGAGTATAATTTATATCCTGGCATGTGACATTTTGTAGTCTGGAAGATGTTTACTCATTCATGAAATATTAATACAATTTAGAGGAGTCTTTCAGTTTTCACATGCAATGGTTGCTCATATTGCAGTCTTCTAGGTTGGGTCACTGTGAGGTCTTGCAGTAGGATACCAGCATTTTGAAGGAATCTGCCGCTTCCATCTTCAGGGTCAAAGTGAGTAGAGTATCCCCCTCTGAAATGCCAGTGAAGTTCTATCAGACTACATGGCGTTACATCCCCAGAAGATTGTACTTTCCAAATGACAATTTCTCTGCACAGTTTGTTGCGTTCCTTCGTGGCACACAAAACAGTTGCACACTTACTTCAGGTTTACGGTTGGTCTGTTTGGTACACCGCCTGGTGTTTTGACAGTGACTGGTGGACTGCGGTCACCGTCACCCTTCCTGGTGAGGGCTGCCACCTGCACTGAATACTTGGTGTCCGGTTGCAACCCAGTTACATTGAGCTCCTGCGCACTCCCGTCAAGAACATCGAACCTCATTGGGTCGTTGAGAAGACCTTGTCCCTACAGACACAAACCAGTATGCTGTTGTTGCTGTTGTTACGATCATCATCATCATCATCATCATGCACCTTACAGCTGAAGCCATGCTTTAGAGATTGTAAGTCTGCATTCTCTACATAAACGGACACATTGTGTTAACATGTTGTTTTTTGTTTACGTTTAATTTGACCTTAAATCCTGCTCTTTGCTCAAGAATGCCATATTCTGGGATGTGGTGTCATATAGATTTTGTGTGAATCGACGTTTTGGAGGAAGGTATCGCCTCCATCTTCAGGGTAAAAAATCCATGAGGGAGGAACAAGCGTGAGCAGGTGGCTGCAGACTGAGCCACCATTTGAAAACACCCAGCTATATAAGAGCAGGAAGGGAGGGAGAGTGAGCTACATGGGAAATCAATAGAGAGGAGAGGAGAAGGGGGGGGCAGGGCTACCAAACAAGCATTGACCCAGTAGCCTCAGGGTTCTGGCCTGCAAACTTCGTTGGGGCTAAGTCAACTGCCTAGAAAATGTGGGAGCTTTGACGTCTCACAACCCTATGGGCCTCCATGGTCTGTTTACCTTTTTTAATGAACTGGCATGGCTCAAACTGTAACTGTCTGACAACTTTTAGAGAAAATTTCACACAATGAATTTTAAGAAAATCTGTTTAGGTGCTGATACTAAGTCCATACATTCAAGCACAAAGATATGATATCCATATAAGCTAATCTATCTTTGCTTTGTAAAGAATAATTAACAATGTGAAACTTGCAGTCTTACAAACCTCCTCTTTTGTTTCCTGTACATGGATGTGATAACCACGGATGATGCCATTACGATCCTTTTCCAAAGGAGGTCGCCACTGAACACGGATTGCAGTTGAGTTGATGAATGTTGCTCGCACATCCTGGGGGTCACCTGGGACTGGAAACAACCACCATAAAAGGCTCACATATCGATATGGAAAAAGGCCAAAACAGAGAATAGAATTATCACACATACACACACTCATTCTATGTACTCTTATTGTTTATGCATCAAAATAGCTGTCAAGAACATCTACTTCTGAACAAAGATAAAATTTATTTTAGATTTTAATATATTTTGATTAATTTATATTTTAAATTAATTTACAAATAAATACATGCCATATTTGATTCAAAACTGCTCTGCAACAATTTATATAAATTTACTTGTGTTTCCCTTATTATAAAACCTGGAAGTTTATCTTCCCCATAGAAAGATGTTCTATTTCTAATCTTCCCCACAGAAAGATGTTCTATTTCTAGCACACATCATCCTTTAAACACATCAAAACTTAAAAGCACACTACAAAACATCACCTGCTCTTTTGCTTATTTACAATACCTTTGTTCCAGTCCTTGCTTTGGGGGGAATGTCCAATAAGAAACATCATTACATGAAATATAAGAGAGTCTTGTAACTGTCTCAGCTGCTGCTTTGCCAAAAGAGTTTTCATTCATTTAAAATTTATTACAGAAGTTCATGATAAAGATTTCAAATACCCATAAATACTGAAACATTAAATCGCTTCCTTGTAGTTTCTTTATATATATATAATTATTTGTGTAAACATTTGAATACCAACACATTTACAACAAACCATTCACTTATTTAACCACTGTGAACAAAGATCTGTGAACAAAGAAGCTGAAGAACATACCTTAATGTCATAATGAGATGGCACGACTACAACTACTTTTGTGAACAGAACTGAAGAAGAGAAGAAAGTGCGAGTTAAAAAATGAAAACAAAAAAGTTCATATCTGAAAAAAGCCAGTATCACACACAAAAAAGTGCCAAAAATTCTACGACAGAAAAAGTATATATATATATATTTCAAATGCTTTCTAAAAGCTCTACAGCACACAAAATATTTAATCTAAGATCCACACAATGAAGATGTGTTAGTGGCATACTCACTGAGTTTGGTAGTGCGATCGGTAGAGCGACCGGCTGTAGCAACAGATAGTCAGGGGGAAAAAAGTGGAAAAAAATTGTATTGTAAGTGAGAAAAGCATTTGTTCCTTTCTACATATCAAAAACTGTTCTGTTTTCTCAGACAAAAACGTTCTTTTTTTTTTTGTGTGAAAATGTTTTTCCCCTCTCTTGTCACCGGCAAAATATTTTGTTGTGGCTGTGATGGTAACAGTTGTTGCTGTTGTTGTTTTGTCTACTACAAAAAGAGGCATCAGGTGTGTGGCAGCATTTGTTTCCCTCTTTGTTCAGAGGGGTTCTTTTTATCAAAAAACAAAGTAAAAAATATTTTTTATATAAAAGTTTAGTGAAGGAAAAAGTTGTGACTAGCATGCACAAGTTATATACTGCACAGATAAAGAGCTACAAATAGTAGGATTCTAAAAATAAGCGCAGGAGCTGAGCAGGAGAGTGAAATCAAAATGGGTTCACATAAATGATGGACAAAAATAAATTAACGAGTACAGACCAAATATAAGAATCAGAAATGGTAATAACTGCACAAAATAAATTTTTTTAATAAAATATAAATAACAACAGGAAATTTTCTGATGTTCAGTCTTTGAACTGTCCAAACTCAACAGTTGAAACAACATAAACAGTGAATCACTCTGAAAGCCTAAAATTGGTACTAGGAAATTTGATCATATGAAATAATCTGGAGAGTATGAATTCAAGTAAAATAATGAAACCAAAACAGAAGAAAAACAAATTCTAGAAGCAAGTTAATTCTCACACTCGCACACACACGCAGCCATATTTACAAAAAGAAAATCCCTCACCTGCTATAAAATATCAGAAACACACGCACACCAGCATGACGAACAGACTAGCAAATCCAACTTCAAGGGAATACTGACCCAATCAAACAGTTATTAACAACATCAAAATTGTTGGCTTTCACTATATTTCAAAAAATAAAAGTAATGATGGATGCTAACATTTCACATAATATTTACAACAGTAAATAACATGTCAATTAACTTTTTATCCAGTGTAAACCTATAAATGAAAACATAAAACACTTTCTACTGTTTATGTGTAATTTAAAGCTAACAGGATTTAGTTGCACTGAGTGTTGAAGTTGTTCCTTTGTTTTGGGGTGTACCTTACAGTCACCATCTTCCAAGTAAGTGAGGCAACCTGAAATACAGGACTTACAATGCAAATGAGAGTAGGGGTGTCAGTTGTGGTGCTATCTAACTGAAAGGGGCCATGTGGTTATGATGAAAGTTTGGACTTAAAGAGGTGAGATACCAGATTTTACTTACATTTCAAGTTCTCATAGCAGAGACCATGAAGAGTATATAAAGGGTTTTGTTAAAACAAAATTGTAAAGAAGAGTTATGTCTCCTGAGATGTAACAATATGAAGTGTACTGAAAGTCAACCAACGTTTTGGAGGAACCTGTCACCTCCATTTTCAGGGTCAAAGAGTGAAACAAGCAAGAAATTAGCACAAAGCAGGTACCATGCATTTTCCTCTGAAATGTCAGTCGACTTTCAACGACTACATGGCACTATATCACCGATGACAGAACTCTTCATAACTGTTACTGTGACAACTTCAAATCCTTTGTACTTTAACAAAATTTTGGAAAACAATAAAACATGTATTTATAATCTCATTTAAAACCAGAGTAGGGTATAGCTCCATTTTCATTGTTACAGGGCGACTAATCATTTGAGCCACAATGTTGATCAAACAATACTTTGATGATATATATCTGTAAGATATATATATACATAAATTTTGGGCAGAACTGAAGCCACTCTATCTTGGCACTGGTCCCTTCTGGGATGTGATGCTGTGTAATCTGGTAGGAGCTCACTAGTGTTATGGAGGAATGTCAAAAATTTCTGTCAGATCACATGGTTTCACATATCAGAAGATATACTCTTCAGATGTTATTCAGTTTGTATTTGTCCTGTTGGCAATATCTACTCTCACTTCTCTTCTTCTTCACCAAATATTCTCCTTAACCTGTCCCACTAGACAGCATCACATTCCACAAACCCACCCTTACTTAAACATAAAGATTTATATACCAGGCAGCATCCCCCTTACACCTTATTCACCCTGAAGATGGTGAAGGCAATGTATGCTGAAACATTGCAACAAATTTAATACATGATAAGGCTAAACCAAGAAAGAAAAATTACATATTCTGAGTACACACCACCAAACACGATAAGAATTACTGTTGTAGTACACTTAAGCAATGAAAAGACCTTAATCAGAAAGATATCAAATTATTTTGCTGAGACAATGATATATATATATTCCGATCTCTCCAGATGACTGTATAAGCATGACCACCTGCTTCCAAGTTCTTATCTAATCATCACCATCACAATCATCATATGATCTCATATGGCTCGATATAAAAATGCAGTTGAAACAAAATTTAACCCAATAACTGAATAAGCTTAAAAAGCAAGAATTTTGAGTGCTTTCAATGTGGTACATTATTAAAAAAAGATCACAGAATGAATTTGAGGAAAAGGTGTCTGCTCACAATACTAACATATGTCCTCTTGAAAATTCAATGGGGAACTGCTACAAATAAAAACATCATATATGATCACACTGTACTTGCTTCATGGTGACCAACTTATGCATTATATCCCTTCAGCGACATTGTAAGATGATGATTTCACTGAATGTGAACTTCACATGTTACTGGGTTTAGATGTTTTGATGAATTTGTTATCATATGCAAAGATGTTGGGTGTGCATAACTGTTGTTTCCAAAATGGATTTTATCATCTGGATGGCAATGAAAGGAACAAATCCCTGTTGAAATTTTGAAGGACTTCATGCCATAGAGGAAACTGCTGAAGAATTCTCACAGATTGTTCCCACTCTTTTTATCCTCCCTCCATGCAATCCCCTTACTCTGTCCTTCCTATTGGCTGGATTACTCATTCTACGCTAACATTTGGCAGAGGGTCCCAGCAGGCAGGCTAGGATGACAGAATGGAGGACAGGCTAACAACTCTTATCTCCGTGTTTATTATCCAAGTATCCGTCAATAAAGCAACGATTTAAAAGACGTTAGGAATATGTTTCATGTTAAAAATGTATTTCAATATGCTTTGATGTTGTTAAAATCTTTACATGTCAATAGGATATTAAAAGCGTATTCTATACATTAAAAATGACTAGCAAATTTTCTAAAATGTCTTGTCATATATTTCTTCCAATTTTACAACATGTTTTGGCCATATGGGCCATCATTAGGTAACTTCTTTTCTTTTGGGGAGACCACTCCACTGTACACCTACTCACTGTACTTCCATGCACGTCAATATTTTGTTTCTATCTCATGAGTATACAGATAGACTGAACTAGTGATACATACGACACATAAAAACTATGACAGCCGCAACAGAATGCAATGACCGCGTTCTGATCATGATGTGAAACATTATTTAAGATTATTTTATACGGACTTTTGTCCATCAGCTCAGTTCATTAAAAATTTTGTTATTTTTGTCTTCAGATGAACAGATACAAGAGACAACCTATTCTGTTGTGCCTCTCAGTACATCTAACCTCATACTATGGATGGTGCTATAAATGAACAGTCCATGCCTTGAAAGCAGCCCTACCAAATGGCCCAAAAGAATAAGTTTTCTTTCATACACTGCTCACCTGAGGATGGAACTAGAACAATTTCTTAAACACAGTGGTTTTAACAAACTCAAATACCAGAAAAATACAAAATAATAATTTTAAACCTTTGATAGCTGCATTTACAGCTAGTTACATTTTAGTTTAAGCACTGTAACCCTTTCCATGCTGAGCTTTACTAAAAAACAAAAATTTTCTGTTTTTGTGTATTTCAGTGTCCATGTAAGAGAGTACAATTGCCACTGCAGAAAAGTCACAAACACATTTAGCCATTAACATTCTGAAGGATGAATTTCTTCTAAATAATACTGAGTAAATCACTTCTCACTTCAAACAAAATGTGCTACATCTCCATTATGAAGACCAACAAGTTAATGCTGTTTGGGGTAACAAATATGGTTTATTCTGAGAATCACATGAAACATATGAAAACACTCTGCAGACAAAGCGCAAATTTATTTTAATGTTAAAGCAGGTGGTACATATGGTAACCACTGTGCTTTAAAGGGGTAAGATGTAACAGTGACATACTTTCACTGACTGTCATAGACAACATTAAATGCAGAGCAGTTTTCGTGTAAGCAAATGGAAAGGGTTAATAAAACATTACTCTTTCCAAACAAGCTCTAAAGTTTGTGACGATGGTACACTGCTACAAGTATTCTGTTTTTGGGCATTATCCATCATCCTGTCTATTTTCTATAAAAAGCCCTGTTTATTTTTCAAAACACAACGTTTCGGAGACTGGATTCTGTCCCCCGTCCTCAGGTAAAACCTACTCAGTTGGGTCCAATAGATAGAGCTAGTCCCTATCTCTGGTCCAGAGAGTAGGTTTTACCAGCGGACGGGGACAGAATCCAGTCTATGAAATGTGGCATTTTGAAAAATAAACAGGACGATGGATAAAGTCCAAAAACATAATACTTGCATTACACTTTCCCCATGTAATGTTGAGCAGAAGAATCTGTATAGAGCAATACTGTCTGCTTAAGTGTTTGTCCAACTGCAGAAGGTCACTGCCATTCCAGAGCAGATAGGCCATTCCCTTGAAGTGGAGCAGACATGTGAACGTCCGACATGCACAAGAAGTAGTAATAACAAATGACAGAGAGAGAAAAAGATACTCTTTCCAATCCATGATGGCATCAGAGGTTGAAAGCACGCCAAGTGAACATGTCCCGAACGTGTATTGGTATTCAAATGTGATCCATGTGCAAATTAATAGAGTAGTAGTAGTAGCAGTAGTAGTAGTAGTAGTAGTAGTAGTAGTAGTAGTAGTAGTAGTAGTAGTAGTAGTAGTAGTGGTAGTGGTAGTGGTAGCAGTATACAAATAACTGGACACA